CATCTCCACCACGTGTCCAGCTGGGCTGCGGTACGTGCCTTCTCTTGTCCGTGATCATCTGATCTTCTGGGCACACACGTCACCCTCCTCTGGTCACCCAAGTATCGGCCGTACAGTGCGCTGCTTGAACGGAAAGTACTGGTGGCCTACCTTGGCTAAGGACGTGAGGGTGTACGTCTCCTCCTGCTCGGTGTGCGCCCAGAGTAAGGCACCTAGGCACCTCCCAACGGGTAAGCTACAACCATTACCAGTTCCACAACGACCATGGTCTCATCTTAGTATTGATTTTCTGACTGATCTTCCCCTCTCCCAAGGTAACACCACCATCCTGGTCCTTGTGGACCGCTTCTCCAAGTCCTGGCGCCTCCTTCCTCTGCCCGGTCTCTCCACGGCCCTGCAGACTGCGGAGGCCCTGTTTACTCACGTCTTCCGGCACTACGGGGTGCCAGAGGATATCGTGTCCGACCGAGGTCCCCAGTTCACGTCCAAGGTTTGGAAGGCGTTCATAGAACGTCTTGGGGTCTCGGTCAGCCTGACCTCTGGGTTCCACCCCGAGTCAAATGGGCAGGTGGAATGAGTAAATCTGGATGTGGGTAGGTTCCATGGGGCGGTGCGCGCAATTGGCCCAGCGTCGTCCAGGGTAGGGGAGGGAATGGCCGGCAGGGGATGTAGCTCAGTTGGTAGAGCATGGCATTTGCAACGCCAGGGTTGTGGGTTCGATAAAATAATGTATGCACTAACTGTAAGTCGCTCTGGATAAGAGCGTCTGCTAAATGACTTAAATGTAATGTAAATGTTCCTGCGGTCCTACTGCCAGGACTGGCCGGGGGAGTGGTCGGTGTTCTTGCCACTCCTCTACTAACCTAACACCATTCCAATGTGTTTTAGGTTACCAATTGGTTCTGGCACCGTGGCACCAGAGCCAGACCGAGGCTCCTGCTGTGGATGACTGGTTTCGTACCGAGGGATCAGGTCTGGCTCTCGACCCGGAATCTGCCCCTCCGCCTGCCCTGCCGGAAGCTGAGCCCGCGGTTTGTGGGGCCGTTCAAAGTCCTGAGGAGAATCAACGAGGTTACGTATAGGTTGTTACTTCCCCCTGATTACCGTATTAACCCCTCGTTTCATGTGTCTCTCCTCAGGCCGGTGGTGGTTGGTCCGCTCCAGGAGTCTGAGGTGCGGGAGGTTCCTCCACCTCCTCTGGACATCGAGGGGGCCCCGGCGTACTCTGTCCGTGCCATCCGGCTCGCCCTGCTCCGCGTCCTCCTGGCCGTCCCCGAGGTCAGGGTCGGCGCGCTGCTGGAGCTGTGCGTCGGGGGGGGGGGGGGGGGTACTGTCACGACTTCGGCCGAGGCTGCCTCCCCTCCTTGTTCGGGCAGGCTTCGGCGTTCGTTGTCACCGGAGTACTAACCACTGCCGCTCCAATCATCATCACAATTGTCTTGTCTCGTTATCACACACACCTGGTTCTAATCCCCTAATTAGTCTGTGTATAAGTGTTCCATCTGCACCCTTGTCCTTGTGGGTGATTGTTTATTGTGAAGGTTAATGAAGCACGGTGGAGCTTGTGTATTTTGTTAGACAGGAGTATTTTCCTGTGTGCCTTGTATTTTCCAGTGCACCTGTTTTGTGCCCTGGAGTATGTTTGACGCAGTTCTGCATAAACCTGTATTTTGCGGATTAAAGCCTGTTATTCTGTGATTTACCCTCCTGCGCCTGACTCCTTCAACACCACCTCATCACAGTTAATCACAGACTAAGAAATAGAAGACATAGATTAATCCAATAGTACAACCCAGAAGTCTGTAGCTCAAACACACAATGTTTAAAAGGTGTTAGAAGTCTTAAATCAAGCCGGTGGGACTCATTGGGTTAAATTATTTGATACATTGATACATACATACATACATACATACACTCTCTCGCTCGCTCTGTCTTTCTGAATATTTCCTTTTTCCAGTGCGGGGTGTGTAGTAAGGCCTTGGGGGACATGATGACTGCCATGTTTCTGCATGGGAGAGTGATCCACTGTGATGGCTGCTTTACTAAAACCATATAGGCCCCAGAACTTCTCATCACCTTGACACAGAGGGCACAACAGTGTCATCCCTGGAACATGGTCACCAAAACAACCATTCTGACAGATTACTTGCTAACTTTGTGTTTGAAGGTTTTTTGTATGATGTGTTATATTTCCAAAGTTATCGTCAGTTCTTGTCTTCTTCCTTGACACTGAATGTCGTTTTTTGTGAATCAGGGAAGAGGAAGGAGAGGAAGGGGAGGAGACAGGTTCTAGAAGGATTTTAAAGTCTTGAGACAATTGAGACATGGATTGTGTATGTGTGCAAGACAAAAGATTGAAGTGCCTCTGAACGGGGTATGGTTGTAAGTGCCAGGCGCACTGGTTTGAGTGTGTCAAGAACTGCAACGCTGCTGTGTTTTTCACACTCAACAGTTTCCCATGTGTATCAAGAATGGTCGACCACCCAAAGGACATCCAGCCAACTTGACACAACTGTGGGAAGCATTGGAGTCAACATGGGCCAGCATCCCTGTGGAACGCATGTCACCTTGTAGTCCATGCCCGACGAATTGAGGCTGTTCTGAGGGCAAAAGGGGGTGCAACTCAATATTAGGAAGGTGTTCCTAATGTTTTGTGCACTCAGTGTATATCTGTAATAACAAAAACATATCTAAATGATTTATGACAGTTTCCATCATTTAAGTCAACATATTTGAACTGTGAATAAACTATGAATAACATTTAACCACACGTATTGCTGTGTATTATATTACCCTTGTGGACAACCTCACTGGAAGTTTGGTTTTACCATTTTACATTTCTATGACAATGAAATGAAGCACAATATTTTAATACCTTGGGTTTAAAATGGCTTTGATTAAGTTTAATTGCTCAATTCAATTCAACACATCAACCCTATGGTTTAAAAGCAGAGAGCATTAATACATGTGGAGAATGAAAATTAGGTATCTTATTTAGCTTATAACTTTAGCACCTCCATATAATTGGGTTTCCTTGCACCCTCCACACAGTAATCATTTAAAAGGACAGGTCAATAGGTATTTATACATCAAGAGTGAGTGCAAAAAAGATGCCATAAGTGCCTTGACACACTTAGACAAGAGAGACTCCCACATTTCACTTGAATGTACAGAACTTTGGCACATTCAGCTGTTTGCTTTGGTCACAGTAACAGACAGCTCATTTACGTACACAATTAAAGCAAAAACAGCTAGATCATGTTCACAATCTATATACAGTGGGGGAAAAAAGTATTTAGTCAGCCACCAATTGTGCAAGTTCTCCCACTTAAAAAGATGAGAGAGGCCTGTCATTTTCATCATAGGTACACGTCAACTATGACAGACAAATTGAGGAAAAAAATCCAGAAAATCACATTGTAGGATTTTTAATGAATTTATTTGCAAATTATGGTGGAAAATAAGTATTTGGTCACCTACAAACAAGCAAGATTTCTGGCTCTCACAGACCTGTAACTTCTTCTTTAAGAGGCTCCTCTGTCCTCCACTCGTTACCTGTATTAATGGCACCTGTTTGAACTTGTTATCAGTATAAAAGACACCTGTCCACAACCTCAAACAGTCACACTCCAAACTCCACTATGGCCAAGACCAAAGAGCTGTCAAAGGACACCAGAAACAAAATTGTAGACCTGCACCAGGCTGGGAAGACCGTGTTTGGAGGACAAAGAATGCTGAGTTGCATCCAAAGAACACCATACCTACTGTGAAGCATGGGGGTGGAAACATCATGCTTTGGGGCTGTTCTTCTGCAATGGGACAAGGACGACTGATCCGTGTAAAGGAAAGAATGAATGGGGTCATGTATCGTGAGATTTTGAGTGAAAACCTCCTTCCATCAGCAAGGGCATTGAAGATGAAACGTGGCTGGGTCTTTCAGCATGACAATGATCCCAAACACACCGCCCGGGCAACGAAGGAGCGGCTTCGTAAGAAGCATTTCAAGGTCCTTGAGTGGCCTAGCCAGTCTCCAGATCTCAACCCCATAAAAAATATTTGGAGGGAGTTGAAAGTCTGTGTTGCCCAGCGACAGCCCCAAAACATCACTGCTCTAGAGGAGATCTGCATGGAGGAATGGGCCAAAATACCAGCAACAGTGTGTGAAAACCTTGTGAAGACTTACAGAAAATGTTTGACCTGTGTCATTGCCAACAAAGGGTATATAACAAAGTATTGAGAAACTTTTGTTATTGACCAAATACTTATTTTCCACCATAATTTGCAAATAAATTCATTAAAAATCCTACAATGTAATTTTCTGGAAAGAAATTCTCATTTTGTTTGTCATAGTTGACGTGTGCCTGTGATGAAAATTACAGGCCTCTCTCATCTTTTTAAGTGGGAGAACTTTCACAATTGGTGGCTGACTAAATACTTTTTTTCCCCACTGTACATATCAGTAAGCGAGGGGACAGGGGTGTAATTCTTAGTTCTGAGAGCAGCCATCTCTTTCAGTCACTCATATTTAGAAGGCTGAATAGAGACCACAAACCACAATCTGACAATAATGTCTGGGACACTTTATAAAAGCTAAAAACAAATATTTGCAAACCAAAACCAGAGACGCTACATCCAATGTGAAAATGAGCAAAAGACATCAGAGAGTCATCTTCCTGGAATGAGAACAGAGGGGATAAGACTGGTGAGCAGGAGGATGGGAGGGGCTCGAAGTTATGATGACCAGGGGGAGGGGCTTGAAGTTATGATGACCAGGAGTTCTATTAATCTCCAAGTTTGTTGTTGAAGTGATAAATCAGATGGTCAAGATGAACCATGTGTCAGTTAGCGGAGCCCTCTAGGGAAGCAGCCAGCAGTAGGTAGGGGATCCAGGCTACAGGCGTGTCTGAGGGGATGGATGAATGGAGTTCAGTAGTGTGATGTGTAACGGCTCCCCTCAGGCCCAGTCTATGGGGTGATGGAGACGTGACAGGGCACAGTTTTTAACAGCGCAGCCCTTTCCTGCCCAGGAACCGCAGCACTGCATAGTTATAGGTGGTAGCTACCACATACAGAAACTAAAGAGAGAGAAAGATGGGGAGAGAGAGAAGGAGAGAGGGACAAAAGAGAAAATAGATAAAACATTTTTTTTGCAGCTGCATTCAAACAACATATACATTATTCAATAGCCTATAGAGCATCACAAGATGATCAATTTTTTTGTGCACACATTTATCACTCACTTAGGTGTCCCTACAGTAGGCCTATAGAATACAGGTCAGTTCTCTAGGGATTGGTGAGCTTTTCTATTACGACCTAGCTGGTCTTGCCTAAAACTAACCCAGATGGAGCTGCAAAATCAAGTCACACTCTGAACCTAAACCAAGAGGGTGACAAACCCCATAGACTCATCAGTCTGGGTGGACATTCTTACTCACCAGAGCCAAGAGAGCGATCCCTGCACCAGCAAAGGCAGCGATGTACAGGTCATAGGTGACGAAGAACTGCAGAGACAAAACAATATGAGCAAATATTCCTAGTAGACTACATAAAAAGGGGCCTTAAATAGTGCATGCATTGTACATTGATTTGCTATTCAGAATGAAAATGTAGCTGTGGGTTTTGTGGGTTTATGGAAGGTTACATAACCCAGAAACACACTAATTCTTTCAAAGTATTTTTAAGACAGAGCGAACAGCAACTCACCTCTTTTGTTTTGCAAATGGATGCCAAGGTCATTCCACAAGCTTTCCCTGGCATTGCATTCCAAGGCAGCAGTCCTAATAAGAAGCTTGTCTCATTAATGTGAAATGAAATACTGTACATTTTAAATGTAAAAAAAAATTATAAAAAAGACGAACATAATGTGGCCCGGCTAGCTCCATCATAAGCTAAACGTACCATACTGCCGAGCATCCATGCAGATCCAGCCGTGCTGGTTGATGCTGGGTGTCGTCTCAGCCAGGATGTTGATGGTGTGGCAGGTCTGTGCCATATTAAAGAAGAAGAAGACGGGTATGGCTGTGAAGGCAAACACCGCCAGCCAGATCACCGCCAGGATGTATGTCACTATGATGAACTGTGGAGCAGGAAGTAGAGCAGGAGGTCACAGGAAGTTATTGGTCAAACTCCAGGATGTGACACAACATGTCCCATAAGGCTTCATTACTGCAGCCATACACCACTATAGAGGGTAAATACTCTAACATGAGCCTAATATCCTTGAAGCAATACATCAGGGATTCATGGATAATTAACTAATGGATAATTAACGATCTATAAATTGTTAATGGATTGTTTCTCAACCAGTGTGTGGATTACAAACTAGAGTACAGTCAGTAGGCTATAGTGTCGATATTATTTTAGCAACCTAAGAATGAGGTAGTCATTCTCTCTCTCTCCCCTCCTCCTCAACTCTCTCCTCCCCTCCTCCTCAACTCTCTCTCCCCTCCTCCTCAACTCTCTCTCTCTCCTCCTCCTCAACTATCTCTCTCCTCCTCCTCCTCAACTCTCTATCCCCTCCTCCTCAACTCTCTATCCCCTCCTCCTCAACTCTCTCTCTCTCCTCCTCCTCAACTCTCTCTCCCCTCCTCCTCAACTCTCCTCTCCTCCTCCTCCTCCTCAACTCCTTCCCCCTCCTCCTCAACCTCTCTCTCCCCTCCTCCTCAACTCTCTCTCTCCTCCTCCTCCTCAACTCTCTCCTCCCCTCCTCCTCCTCACTCTCTCTCCCTCCTCCTCCTCCTCCTCCCTCCTCCTCAACTCTCTCTCCTCCTCTCACTCTCTCTCCCCTCCTCCTCAACCCCCTCTCACCTCCTCCTCAACTCTCCTCTCCCCTCCTCTCCTCCTCTCCTCCTCCTCTCCTCACTCTCTCCCCTCCCCTCAACTCTCTCATCTCCCCTCTTCTCAAACCTCCGCCCCTCCTCCTCAACTTCTCCCCTCCTCCTCAACCTATCCCCTCCTCCTCAACTCCTCGCCCCCTCCGCATCAACTCTCTCTCCCCTCAACTCCTCAACTCTCTCTCCAACCTTCCTCCCTCAACCACCTCCAAGGCTCGAGCATCGAAACCGCCCCCCCCTCTCCTCCTCAACTCTCTCTCTCCCCTCCTCCTCAACTCCCTCTCTCCCCTCCTCCTCCCCTTCCTCCCTCCTCACCGTCAGACTAAGGCAGCGGCCACATCTGGTGCTCCGGAACTCTCCGAAGGTCTGCTTGATGGCACTGGTGGTGTAGAATCCCTCAGCCAGCAGCAGGATGCAGTAGAGGAAGAAGAAAGAGGCCAGGCCATAGATCACGTACTGGAAGTACTTGATACTGGGAGACAAGGACAGGTCATAATAAGGAAAGGTCAGAAATTCCATGGTGACAAAAGGTGCTGTTGAGAGGTGTCTTCTCTCTACCTATCTAAAGGAATAGTTACTACTACAACTACTACTACTGCTGCAAGAGCCTTTACATTTTGGTTGCTTGATTTGCACAACCTATCTAATAATACAAACAATTACATTAGGTTATTGCACTTAAACACAGAAAAGTCAAAATGATCTGAATCACTCACAACGAGGCCAGGATAACATAGTCTTGTATGTTACGAGAGAAGTAAGTCTCGACGAGCACCTCAGTGTTGGCCAGTGCCTCGTGCCCGCAGCCACAGAACAGTGCCATGCCAGTGAAGCAGAGCAGAGTGGCCACCAGGGAGGGGTAGGGTACTGCCCCCAGGCAGCGGATACAGCAATCATAACAACCTGGTGAGGGGGCATAATACATCAACACACTGGCGGCACACACCAACACACCCCAACACACACCAACACACACCACATCTACGCCACAGTCCAGACACCGTCAGTCACCCTGCTTGGGGAGCTGTTAAACAGAAAGACCCCACTGCTTCTGCCAAAAATCCATCAACATCTACCATCAACATCAACCATCAACTTCCATCAACATCAACTTCCATCAACATCCACCATCAACTTCCATCAACATCCACCATCCATCAACAGGCATGAAAGCAACAGAAAAATGTGAGCGAAAAACAACAGTGAAACCAAGTGCAGTGTATCCAATCAAACATTGTTAAAGTGTCTATACAAAACCAGCCCCCACTGACTTCACAGCATTCTCATACACTTCCTCCAATGTAAGCTGTGCTGGGGAAGCAGATAACAAACATCCAGACTGTTAATGGCTGTATTGGTATAGGAATCAGAGAGAGAGATGCACCTAGGGCTTTGCAAAGCCAAGGCTGTCTGACCGGAAACATTTGCTCCTTTCGATCTTGTGCTCCTTAACAAGCAAAGAGTTTATGAGCCAGTGATGCTAAAGGCTCAGCTGCAGGATATTTTAACCAAAAAACTGCTCTGTCTGCACTGGTTTCATCCGTGTGTAAAAGCTCCTCAGCTCCAGCCAACGCCTCACAGCTCAGCCACTCTACTCTCCAGAGTTCAGCCCTCTTTCACCACCACCCGCCAGCCACCACAGGCGTCACCAGGAGAGGAGAGAGAGGAGAGGGCACTGAAGGCTGTGCTCCAGGGGCCTTGAGAGAGAGCCTGTCTTTGTGGCGGGAGACACAATGCCCTTTGTCTTAGCTAGGAGTGGAGGAGAACAAAAGCCAGCGATGTCAAACAAACAAAGACCACACTAGCACCACCACACACACACTAACAATCTAATAAACAAGCCAGCGTCTGGATGGGTGGGTGAGGCAGGGGTCAGGGGAGTATCTCCACCACCAGGATTCTCACAGTATCGCTGGCAATGTCAGTACTATGCACCCAGGCCAGCCCACAGCTGGCTGGGACTGGTACCATGGCACTAAATTAGTTTCTATGTCAGCAGGGGGTGGGGACCACAGTTCAAGTGTTCAAGGGTGGGAGGAAGCATAATAAATGGGAGGGTGAACTGAAATATCTTCACAACAACAACCAAGTTTCTCATCAAAGTTGTATGATCTACAAACCCCATTAGGTAAAGGCAAACAGTGTCATGATCATACATAATAAATGATTGAGCGGCGGCAACTGTTCCACGCAGACTAAACGTTCCTGTAATCTTACGGTTTGTGTGATTTTAGTGGGTAGGAAGGAACAGAGGATATAAATTAAACAAACTGCCATTTAAATAAAAACAGCAACAGCTTGGAGGTTGTTTGAGTCCCTGGAAACTACATTGGTTGCAGAGGCCCCCTCTTCAGCTGTGCTCTGAAATGCCAGTTAGAATGACAAATGTGCCATGATAAACCATGAATAAAATCACAGCACGGATATTACTGGAATGCATTGAAGGATCATATAAAACCAAGTGTTTAAATCGTACTAAATCTGAATCAACTATAGTGCAGAGAAAGTATTTTTTTTGACGGAATAGTAGTGAAGGAATGGGATGGAGGAATGTAGTGAGGAATGGAGGAATAGAGTAGAAGGAATGGATGAGAATAGTAGTGAAGGAATGGAATGGAGGAATAGTAGTGAAGGAATGGGATGGAGGAATAGTAGTGAAGGAATGGGATGGAGGAATAGTAGTGAAGGAATGGGATGGAGGAATAGTAGTGAAGGAATGGGATGGAGGAAGGAGGCTGAGATATCGGTGAGAATGGGATAGGAAACTAGTGGCTCGTGTGAGAAGGATCGGAGTATGAAGAATGGATGGAGGATCGTGGATGGAGGAATAGTGTGAAGAATGGGATGGAGATGTAGGACGGAAGGAGGTAGTAAGGAATCGGAGGATAGCCAAATTGGCTAGGTCAGATGGAAGCCGTCAAAGGACTTCTGAATTGCTAGTCCTGCCAATGTGGGAGTGTGAGAGCCTTTGACATGATCGACCTTGCATGACCCCTGTGCTGCCTGCGCTGGTCATCTGTCTATCTGAACCCCAATTTGTTCAATCCACCTTTTAGAAAATATTTCACAGATATAAGCTGTGTGAGAGAGGTGGTGTGATTAACATTTTAATTAACATCATTTGATTAACATCATTGATTACATGATGATTCTGAATTTATTTGAATAACATGTTTTATGTTCAAGGATATTCAATTAAAATGTAGGGTAATGAGTATCAATAAGCTTGGCTGATCAAAAACGTTTAAAAACGGACTGTTTAGTCTACAATACTAGTAATAAAACATATTTATTCCTTTATCTATGTGTTACCCAGAATAAAATTATATCGATCCTGCCTACGCTTCCAATGTTGCGATATTACCAATGTTGTGTTATGATATGAATAACCCATGAGGTAGCCATAAGTGGACATCATAATATTGTCAGACAATCATATCATACAATCAACTTGCAATAAAACCAGCAATTATCACAATATTAATGAAGGCTTCATATTATTCTCCAGTGAAGGAAAACAATATTTTCAGAAATATTATATTTCAAAAGTAGATTAATCATAAAAATATTAAAAACTCATTAGATGACCACTTACCCATGTTCAGAGAGAAGTATGAGGTTATTGAGTTTTAGCTTGGCGGCTTTGTGACTGTGATATGAGGATATGAGAAGTTATTCCCCACCACTCCTATATGAATCTGACTTGTGCTTTTGTCTAACCAACAATAGACAGATCCCCCAGCTCACAGAGCCAGATCTTAAAGACACAAAGTCCCATTTTCAGCCGCCGACCATCACTAATGCAGCCCTGGGTTCAACATTAGGGACAGTGCAGGGGTCAAAGACCCTAATAATGAGTTTACACTTGCATTTCAGTCACACTCATGCATACCAAGTTCACACAAAACACAAAAAACACAAACACTCTTTCTCTGAGCAATTGTATTAATAGAAGATATCATTTCCCAATGTTTTTGAGCATACAATATAGCTCAGTATTTGAATTATTTATTTTATCATTATTGCTCATCTTTATCAAGGGTGTTAATAATTTCAGACCCCACTGTATGTGTGATCATCATGTGTGCTGGATGCCTGTTGGAAACTAGATCAGTTTGTGGGCTGCTGCATGGGCAGTTCATTCTCTCTCATTGGCCAGGCTATTCATGGTCTGCATAGTATATGTGCTGCATGTCTGAGGCACGTAAAGGACGCCACATGGTAAATTAAAGCAGACGCTGGCTAGTGGGTGTGTTCGGCTCTTCAGAAAACACAGAGATATGAAGAATATACAGACAAAGGAGCAAAATACAAGGCAGGCCATGGAAATGCCACTGGACTGTCATTGAGGAAGTAGACTAACAAGGGGACATTGAGGGCTGGGTCCAGCTGCTGCTCTCCCTCTCCTCCCCTCCCGCATCCCTCCATCCCTGACCCAGTTGATGTCAAAGCCCACTCCTTACAATGTTCCCAGTGTGCAGCAGGAGCAAACACCACACTGTCTTTTTGGAGTGCGCCTGTACCCTCTTATCTTCTTTGGCTTTCGTCCTTTACAGCCCATGACCAAATTATCCTCATACAGTTACAAATATACCATATATTACAATAATATCTGATCTCAACTGGGCCCAGTCAAAATGGAGCATTGCCCCGCCGAAGCCCAAAATCTAAGATTAATGTTTTTCTTTGTTTGCGGTTGATAAATCCTGTTGATACGGTTATGTAATACAATTTAATAAGATTGGCCATTTAGACACATCTGACTCATTATAAAGATGTTGATGGATTTTGACAAGACGACCACTCCGTTCCAAACAAATCTTTAATCAGCCCATTGATATTGAACAGTAGTATTAGTCAATTTTGTTCTATGATAGTATCAAAGAAAGCAAGGTGATAATGATTCTCAGAGGGATGTGTATTCTCCCAGAATAATACTGTGAAGTGTGCCCATTACATTCTCAGAGGGATGTGTATTCTCCCAGAATAATACTGTGAAGTGTGCCCATTACATTCTCAGAGGGATGTGTATTCTCCCAGAATAATACTGTGAAGTGTGCCCATAATGCTTCAAAATGTTTTATGCTCCAAAATCTGTGTTTTGTGTAAATGGGATGAAGCGTATAGGTGAAATTCAGCTTGCTTAATCTGCAATAGTTTATACATACAATGTCAATACCTTTATATTCATATAAACAACAAACAATAATTTAAAAAAGTGCTGGTCTAAGTTTATTCTGTACAAACAAGCCAAGCCAATGGAATCATATCAGTTGGTTAGAGTAGGTGCCATCTTAAGCTATTATCTTTTTGTAATAAAGCAAAAGTTGTATTCCCACAACGTGTTTAGCAAAAGAAGACACAGTTAACTGAAAATGAACAAAGGTATTTAGACAGGCGACCATAGATCGGAGTACAACACTAAATATGATGAAAGGCAATACTTCAAACAAAATGTCAAACAAATGTCTTAACAATTTACATCTTTACATTACACTTCAGAGTGTAAACACACGCGCGGGCGCACGCACATACTGTATATAGGGGTGATATATTGTGCATATTCAAATATAAATATTATTGGATAAGTGTGATACTTTTACTACAAATTGTAATCAATGTTGTAGTAAAGGTTCAAATGATCACAGTCACATAGTATTTCTGCAATTCTTTAGTCAGTAAAAAATACCCTTTTAAGTTGAGTGTAACATGAGAATATGTATAAAATAGCTTAATAACACTGATTTTCTGTTTTTTACAAATGTCATTTCAGTCAGTGATGAGTCCAGATGCCACTTGTTCCACACAGAATTGTTGAAGATCAAAACAGATATCATAGTAAGAAAAAAGCTTCCCATACAAATCCAACTGTACAAACATTATGCTGAGGTCGTACAAGAGAAAGTTCCAAAAAATGTTACCATCAAAAGACAAGAATGGGAAATAAAAAGCACTTTCTCGTTGTAACCAGCTCACAAAAGGCTTTTGAAAATGATGCTTAAAAAAATTACACTGCTTCTAGACCTCCCTCTGTGAGGGAGAGGAGGCAGTAGTATATCGGCGGCGATTCTGCACCCTTTGACCAGAAAAAGCTTTGCATGGCTCTTGCAGTATGAGCATAAATTCAAACCTATCTTACCCACGGATCCCAACCCAACTACTGCTATGTTTTAATTCATGTACAGCACAGCTCGCCCCTCAGCTCACCTCTACAATCTCTGTCGACTGTGGTCTGTATATCTTCTGTCCCAGGTTAGGTCTATACCCGGGTGGTGGAGTGGGAGTGGGGCAGGACTGTGGAGTTGTACCCGGCTGGGAAGGTGCTGTAGGGGTGCATGTTGGGCAGGCCCATCAGGGAGTTGGGGATCAAGGTGATGTTGTTGGGCGTCATCAGGGGGATGTCGTCTGGTGAGCGGCGCAGGGTCAGGGTGTAGTCCATGTTGGGGGAGAGGTGCAGGGGGTCGTGAAGGCCAGGGAGGTCGTGGAGGTCATGGAGGTCATGCAGAGTGTCACACTGGTTCATCTGGCTGCTCTGGGTCATCTGATGGGACAGGCTCTCGTCGGTGGTGGTGTGGCTCACGTCGTTGCCGTTGCTCTGCCGCTGGGGGCTGGCCTGCTGGGGGCCGGCGTGGCCATCCTGCCGGCTGCGCTTGTCCTTACGGTAGTAGAGCGCGGCGAAGGCCAGCACATTGAGGAACAGCAGCGAGGCGCCCACAGCGATGGTGACACTCAGCTCAGTGGAATAATCTCTGGGGTTAGCCACGATCAGAGGACCCGTCTCCTCCCCATCCCCGTTACTGCTGTGGGCCGTGGAGACAGGCGGACGCTTGGTGGTGCCGGTCCTCTTGCCGTTGGAGTTGGTGGTGTCCTGGGGAGGGACCTTAGTGGTGGTGGAGGTGTAATGGAACATGTCGTGGAGGTTGTACAGGTGGGGCACCAGATGCTTCCAGAAGGCTACCTTGGTGGCGCGGTAGTGGTCGCGGATGCGAGGCTTCAGGCCAATGTGCAGGTACAGCTGGTCATGGGGGTTGTACTTGGACCAGGCCACCTCCTCAAAGCGGTTGGCCTTGGTATGGATGAACTTAGTGTCCTGGGGCACTGGCTTGTTTGGGTCACTGCAGACACGCAATGAAGACAGGGGTCAAAGATAGGGCATCATTGATAACATACATAGAGAAGTCATTCTTTCAATTGATTCATTATCGGGGAGGTCAACTAGCCTCGCAAAGCCGCTGATCCTGCACGGATATCCATTCAGCGTTTAATGTAAGCTCGCGTGATCGGCAGCTTTGCGAGGCTAGATGTCAATAGGCAAGTTTTGGTTGATATAATGTCACAGTCTTTCTTCAAGTGCTCAGCATTCCCTACATCAGGGATGGGCAACTTTGATCGGGGTGGGGGCCACAAAAAATCAGAACTCATCATGAGGGGCCGCAGTGGCTCGCGGTTCTGCATACCCACACATGCAGTCAGAGCCGGTCCTAGCCTTTTGGGGACCCGAAGTTAAATTGTGAGTAAAACACCTTGCGAGCAAATCATTTTAGTGGCCTCCGTCTTGACAGCGGAGAGAAAAAAAGTATGTTTTAGAGTAAATTTCCTGCAATTCTACACATTTCGCCATGGGGCGTACAGAATATTTTGCAGTTGTATAACTAATTTCATGCAATTCTACTCATTTTGCCATGGGGCTGAGAGAAATATTAGCAGTTTTACAGTTAATTTCCTGCAACTATACACATTTTGCTATAGGGTGGAGAGAAATGTTTTGAATATGATATCTGAGTGAGAGTGACTAACAAAATCAATGGGGGCCCCCCGGTCGGTAATTTGACCATGAGTACTACAAGTTTAGATAACTGGCTAGACTAATTTACCAATCTAAAAAAAAATACCTGACACGGGCTAATTAAGTGACTGTCAGTGACTGACATAAAAAGAGAAACTGCTGATGCACAACCACATTTTTAAATTGCACCTTGTGTATTCTTCTATTCTAACGCTCAACATTAAGTTGAGACCCCGCCAGTTGCCCATCCCTGCCCTACATCTTTCATTGCAGCACATCCAAAACCCACTTTCTACTGAGCATCGGTTTCTAGATCTGGGTTTACTGTAACATCATTTTTATAGAGACGGTGGAAATGCTCTGTTCAGAGAGGTGCTAATTCTGCTGTGACTTAAGCAGAGGTGTAATGCAGCAAGGCTCCATTTTTAGATACATGTGAAGTGCGTCTATATGTCTATAAATATTGGTTATTCTGCACAGGCTTCAATACGTCTTTGAATATGATTAGGAATACTCTTACCATCTATTATTTATAGCACTTTTAGGCAAATACAGGGACACAAATGGGAAATATTGTGAATGAACTACCCATCATTTTACTATACAAGCATACCACAATCAAGCCTAATTTGGGATGAACAGAATGGATCCTGTCCGAGTCTGACCAGGTCTCAGGGTAATGTACTCACCCACTCTTGGCGAAGTTGGTCCAGTAGGTCATGACTACAGCGCTGAGCATGATGTCATTCCTGGAGAAGTTGCACGGGAACAGGTCAGTGGCTCCCACCATGGGGATGCCAAACACATAGGGCACCTCGTCCCCGTGGGCTGAGTCTGACCACACAGGCTTCATCAGGCTCTGGCAGTGGTGGTAGAATGCGTAGAAGTATGTGGGTGAGCCGTAGCGGGCGTGCAGGTCAGCCGTCACCACCGAGGGCTCCACCCACTGGTGGTCAGTGAACAGGGCGACTAACGTCTTCCTTCTGGTCTCCGGGTTGTCCCTGTCAGCCCAGTCTGTGTACATGAACTTGATGGTTTCCCTCAGAGTGTCCTTCCCCTCCGGGTAGCCATACAGGCTGTCTACGAAGTCCGACACGGCAAAGTCAAAGTCACTGCCGGACACGCCATCCTCCAGGTCCACCACATTCTCCACGAAACGCAGCCCCTCCCCCTGGTTGACGCCCAGCATGATGTCATAGTTGAGGAACTCGCCCTGCTCCATCAGGATCTCGGGGTCGTCGGGGATGACGTCACCATCAATGACTGGGCCGAAGGCTACGTGGTAGCGGGCTGGCTGGATGTCTTGCTCCACCAGCTCTCTGGCACTCTTCTTCTGCAGGCAGGACACCATGTCCAGGGTGTCCAGCACATTGCAGCCAACCCTCTCAGCCAGCATGCGGGTGTACTTGACAGGCTGGTAGTTGACGGCCCAGCTGGACAGGGCTGAGCCACTCTGGATGATGGCTCTGTGGAACAGGCCTGGGGAGATCACGGCACAGACAGACACAAACACATATCAGATGAGTGCTGTCTGGTCAACAACCATCTGATACAGTCCATTTGTAGGACTGCAGTATACCATATTGGTAGCTTCATAGGATCTCTATCTAGGTTCTGATGATGCGAGGTCAGTTTTTACCAGAGTTTTTTGTGCTTACTGCATAGTTTTATCTGCGATGTTGAGAGACAAACCTCATCAACGTCCCTTTTTAAAATCATAAAAATGTAATTTGGGTCTGTTCAATCTGTGCATCTCAGTTAATTGTCATTTTCCTTAAAATGTCAGATAAGTCCTTAAATAATATAAATGGAGAGGATGGAACTCTAAAAATCATATTTATTCTAATTGATAGTGTATAATTCCAAATGAAAAATAATGCTTAGTAAGTGGTGGATATGTAACATTGGCTACGCTAAAAAGGGATTTGAATTAAACTCTCACTCAACACAAAGGCACCATATTTGCATACAAATTTGAGGAAACTCATCTGTGAGAGCACTGCTTTTGGGAAAGATTAAAATTCAGTGACTCCACTGTGAATACACACAGTAGCCTTGTTGAAAACATCACTGTTAAATGAACCTTTAAGATTACATTTTAAGAAATTAATTTTCAGCCTAACTTTGTCCAGTGATCTTGATGTGGACTATCTATCATGCAATGAGCTCTCCCTCTATTTCTCTCTCTCTCTGTTCCAGTAACACTCTAACCATCCACAATCCTCCCTCCGCTCACACTCGCAGCATGCCCATCAGAACCAGGCGTAATGGAGGTCCGTGGACAGCCAGGCAAACCAAATAATGACAGAAACCATGCTCAAAAATCAATAGTACATCAGGGAGTGTAGCAACTGATAATGTAATAAAATGGCAATAATGTAATAGCTGCTAATAATGTAATAACTTTTGCATTTATAATGTAATAAATGCTGATAATGTAATAAACTGCCAATAACGTAATAAACATTCTGAATGCATAACATAATATCATTTTTGCTCATAATGTAATAATTATCGCATTGTGTTGATTATTACATTGACGTGGGTAAAAAAAACATTAAGTGTTATAACCAATAATGTAATATTCACTCCTTTTTTATTTTCGTGCATATCAAGTGTCATGCTTCAGTAATAGCTGACTGCACACCAAACCACATTCCTGAATCCTAGCTCTAAACCTGACTTTAGCAGTAATATCAAGACTTTCAAATGACAAATTGACCCCCAATACACAACCACAACCAGTCAGCCAGTCACCTGTATAAATGAGGGAGAGAGAGAGTGTGTTTTCCTTCATGCTATTTTCTTTGTGCAAACTACTACTAAAAACTCAACTGATATGCAATGTTTTTAATAGATATAACCCTGCAAACAAAAATGAATCGTTAGGATGTCCCTGGAACGTCACAAAATGGTCCTCTAAAGTGGTAAGGACGTGTCATGGTCCCCTGGAGGCTTTCTCTAGTTTCCGGTTTGTCCCGGGAACGTCTACCCAGGACACGCACAACCTAGTTTCATTACACATCACCCCTTGTTACTGTTGCCAAGGCCCTGATTGGTGAACCACTGATCCATTCACAGCTTTGTCTTTTGGCAATGTTAGGGACACCCACCCAGGTCAGTAGGTTTCCACTTTCTTTAAAGGTTATCGAGTTTTTCAATTTAAATTATGATACAAAATTCTTGCAACCAATAGAATGTTATATACAGTGGGGGAAAAAAGTATTTAGTCAGCCACCAATTGTGCAAGTTCTCCCACTTAAAAAGATGAGAGAGGCCTGTAATTTTCATCATAGGTGACAGACAAATTGAGAGAGAAAAAATCCAGAAAATCACATTGTAGGATTTTTAATGAATTTATTTGCAAATTATGGTGGAAAATAAGTATTTGGTCACCTACAAACAAGCAAGATTTCTGGCTCTCACAGACCTGTAACTTCTTCTTTAAGAGGCTCCTCTGTCCTCCACTCGTTACCTGTATTAATGGCACCTGTTTGAACTTGTTATCAGTATAAAAGACACCTGTCCACAACCTCAAACAGTCACACTCCAAACTCCACTATGGCCAAGACCAAAGAGCTGTCAAAGGACACCAGAAACACAATTGTAGACCTGCACCAGGCTGGGAAGACTGAATCTGCAATAGGTAAGCAGCTTGGTTTGAAGAAATCAACTGTGGGAGCAATTATTAGGAAATGGAAGACATACAAGACCACTGATAATCTCCCTCGATCTGGGGCTCCACGCAAGATCTCACCCCATGGGGTAAAAATGATCACAAGAACAGTGAGCAAAAATCCCAGAACCACACGGGGTGACCTAGTGAATGACCTGCAGAGAGCTGGGACCAAAGTAACAAAGCCTACCATCAGTAACACACTACGCCGCCAGGGACTCAAATCCTGCAGTGCAAGACGTGTCCCCCTGCTTAAGCCAGTACATGTCCAGGCCCGTCTGAAGTTTGCTAGAGTGCATTTGGATGATCCAGAAGAGGATTGGGAGAATGTCATATGGTCAGATGAAACCAAATAGAATTTGGTAAAAACTCAACTCGTCGTGTTTGGAGGACAAAGAATGCTGAGTTGCATCCAAAGAACACCATACCTACTGTGAAGCATGGGGGTGGAAACATCATGCTTTGGGGCTGTTTTTCTGCAAAGGGACCGGGACGACTGATCCGTGTAAAGGAAAGAATGAATGGGGCCATGTATCGTGAGATTTTGAGTGAAAACCTCCTTCCATCAGCAAGGGCATTGAAGATGAAACGTGATGAAAATGATCCCAAACACACCGCCCGGGCAACGAAGGAGTGGCTTCGTAAGAAGCATTTCAAGGTCCTGGAGTGGCCTAGCCAGTCTCCAGATCTCAAACCCATAGAAAATCTTTGGAGGGAGTTGAAAGTCCGTGTTGCCCAGCGACAGCCCCAAAACATCACTGCTCTAGAGGAGATCTGCATGGAGGAATGGGCCAAAATACCAGCAACAGTGTGTGAAAACCTTGTGAAGACTTACAGAAAATGTTTGACCTGTGTCATTGCCAACAAAGGGTATATAACAAAGTATTGAGAAACTTTTGTTATTGACCAAATACTTATTTTCCACCATAATTTGCAAATAAATTCATAAAAAATCCTACAATGTGATTTTCTGGATTTTTCTTTCTCATTTTGTCTGTCATAGTTGACGTGTACCTATGATGAAAATTACAGGCCTCTCTCATCTTTTTAAGTGGGAGAACTTGCACAATTGGTGGCTGACTAAATACTTTTTCCCCCCACTGTATATGGGGGATACAACCTTCCCAGCTCTGCAGATTTTGCTGCGAAGAGACAGAATCATTAGATCATTTGTTTTGGTGCTGTCCATATGTAGCTTGTTCAGGAATGGCTGAAGAATTGCTAAATTTACCTGGAGCTAACTCTGCAAATAGCACTGCTGGGTGATTTAAAAAGTCATAGTCAATCGATTAATAATATAATAATACTCTTAGCAAAAAAAAGTATATTTAATTTACAATATGTAGAATCTATGAGAATAGAAAGGTTCAGAACTTTTGTGAAACATCACAGTACAGTTGAAAAATATATGGCAAATAGAAAAAAAACTGGATGGTGTTCAGAGATAGAGTGGAGCTGAAGGATGGGACTAAAAACAAACAAAAGATAACTATTGTAAACTATACTGTGTCAGTAAAATGTATATAGTATGTATAAGCTGGAAGTAGAAGCCTAAGATAATGTAGGGTTAGGGGAAAATAATAAAGAAAAATATATTAAAATTATACATTTTATATATATATATATATATATATATATATATATATATATATATATATATATATATATATATACACAGTACCAGTCAAAAGTTTGGACACACCTACTCATTCAAGGGTTTTTCTTGATTTTTACTATTTTCTACATTGTAGAATAATAGTGAAGACATCAAAACTATGAAATAACACATATGGAATCATGTAGTAACCAAAAAAGTGTTAAACAAATCAAAATATATTCTATATTTGAGATTCTTCAAATAGCCACCCTTTGCCTATATGACAGATTTGCACACTCTTGGCATTCTCTCAACCAGCTTCATGAGGTAGTCACCTGGAAAGTATTTTAATTAACAGGTGTGCCTTGTTAAAAGTGAAGTCGATGAAGTTGAAATACCTTCGCCATAAAATTCAGGCGGTTGACGACAACATCCCTCATCGAATATTCAACACCACTCATCTTTATAGCCGAGTTGTGCCTGTTGTTCACACGCGTATCTGCCCTCTCATCAGCTTGAATGGTCCCACCTGATCTCGCTTCCTCCCGCCTGCCTTCCATCTTTGCGGACATGTATTTCTATTGCTAAAGCGGTCACTCAACCATCTTGTCAATATAATGGATAATCTATGACCATACCCCTCTTTGACGGTTTTGGTGGTGTTGGTGGGGATTCGTCAGGCGGTGTGGGTGGGGCTACGCGCTGCCTCACCACCAGGGTTGGAGTATTCTACATGTCCATCCATACACTACCTTGAATAAGGAGGAGTGAAACTCCTGTTGAATATTTTTGTGATCATTAGAATTTGGCTAATCACATGACATCAAGGTGTGTCTTCAAATTGAAGTGTGTTTTTTTTCTTTTCTCTGAAGGCACTGGATGTTTGCAAGGTCAGAATGGATGTGCAATAGTAGTGCAGTGCAAACCCCTGAGCATTGAGTTGATGTGTAGTATCAGGCTACCAGGCCATACAGCACATCCACTAACCCAAGCAGACATGTCTGGAAAACAAAGGACAAACTCCACTGCAGTCCCTTAAAGGATTCACTGTGATTATACTGTATGATTCACTTCACTGACCCTCTTGTTTTTTGACTTTGTTATGAACCCATCAAACCAAATATGGCCTGTTGTGAAACCAGCTCGTTTTACAAAGCCAGGCAGTGGAAAAACATTTCAATTTATGCTTTTTTGTATGTCTAAA